AAGACAGGAGCAATATATAAAAAGTTGAATAAAATAAAAATCACACAATATATCATCCATATGAAGTGGAGTTTGCATAACAGAACAACTGGAAGTAACTGGATGCCCACTTCTGCCAAGGAGGTTATGTTTTGTCTGCATTTGTTTATTTTGCAGGTTACACAAAAAGTATTGTATCGATTTCCACAAAGCTTGGTGGAAGGATGTGGTATACAACAGAGAAGAAGCCATTCACCTTTGGTGCATATTCAGATCAGGGGGCAGGATTTCTTTTTTTCACTCTCTTTAACGTTGTGAGATGGTGTTTTTCAACATTTCCCCCTTGATTTAATTTAATTAATGGACTTCGATGAAAAGATCACTCATGTCCAGGGCACTGATATTCATGAGTGAGTGAAATGTGGTGCAGATTTAAATAAAAATCCGAATCTAGTGAATTTAAATGTGGTTTCATGAGGAGACAGTAGTGCTTTGGTGCAGGTTTGTGCTTAGTGACATTCTTGTATGAAATAGTCGTTGAAACAAGTGAGATGCATAAAAAACTCCAGATATAAATATAAAAAGTTTTAAAATTATAAAATGTAATTTACAAAGGTAAATCCATTTGGAGTGTGGAGTACCGTGATTTATAATTTATATCTTATGAAAAAAACATTTCCAACAGTGTCATAATTTGAACATTTCATGTAGATCGTGTGGCTGTGACGTCTCACTGCGACTAAAAAACTTGTGTCTCCGCAGACCATTTTATTGTCACGTGAGATTCTTTCATCCCATAAGAGTGTGTGTGATCTTCCCTCTAAACACCGGCCAGTCACAGAGCCAGACAATAAGGTGTCACTGATGACCGTGTCCAGCAATTGAAGCTATTAAGAGCTGCCCCCAATTCACCTTCTTTCTTAACTTTATGGCTATAATAGCCACAAAGCTCCTCCCAAACCCTCCCAGCCCCCTCCGGCCTCTCTTCAGGCCTTTGTGACATGTTCAATATTCCCACTGTACTGTACTGTTTTCTTCTTTTGCTTTCCACATGCACCTCTGTGGCACAGTGGAGTATTTATTTAATGAAGCTGGGTCAGAGTTCATCATGTTGGTAGTCTTTAGACTCTGGGTGCAGCATTCAGCCTTTCAACACTTCATGTCTGACTTGTACAACTTCTCCTTATGTGCTAAAACAATAAAAACATCCATCAATGTCCTCCCTTGTCTATATAGGGCGGGTATGACTGATGATGTGTACGGCACATTGATGCACTTGAGGGGCAGGGAACTGCGTGAATGTTTGTTTATGTCAAGTGAGGATTTGTCAAAAGGTTTATGTCATTGCTGGCATGAGTCTCTCGCGCTTGTACTGGGTGGTCTTTGTCTGTTTGCATCCGTAAAGAGCTTCGTTCTCACTCTCATTTGTCCCCTATTGATTCTCTAAATTAGGTTGATGAGAGGCCCTCCTATCAGGTGGCATATTAATTGGGTCAGGCTGGATCTCATATGAAATCCAAATAATGGCGACCCAAACCCCAACACTAAACCGTTGTCCTCTGAACACTCTCTTTCACCAATTAGCCTCGCGGTGAATCTGCTTCCTGCCACCTCTGCTGCCTGCTACGGCGTACTAAGAACCACTAAAGCCACTGGTAGCTTCTGTGTGTGTGTGTGTGTGTGTGTGTGTGTGCATGAGTCAGCTCACACTAAATGTTAAGTGCCTGTGTGTTTTATAGACTTGTTCCAATGACTCAGTGTGTTTTTGGACACACAGATTTCCTATTGTTAAATTGTAATCTACAAAATTATGATTGAAAATTTACAAATCAGTCGGTTCCAAGTAGCAAAAGAAACATTTATCAATTTTGACAAAATGTTAATTAGATTTTTATGTCATAAATGTTGTGTCTTATTGTATTGTAATATTGAAGGAGTCTAACTTATTTTGGGTTTGTGTAGTAAAGAATTTAGTAATGAGTAAATTATTGGAAGGAAACATCTGTAGTTGCTTTCAGGCAAAGTAATAAACAATGTAACAGTAGTTATTTAAATACCACAAAACACAGTTTCAGGGGACTACACAAAAACATAAGTATTTACACTAAATCTAAGTATTCACACATTTAGAAATTATTCGAAAATTTAGTTTGAACTTATTGTGTGAAAATGTTGTAATTTGACATATATATACAGTATATTACATTATATATATACATATATATGGATAAATGAATGTGTGACAGTGTTATAGAGTGACATTAGACTTTAAAGTCTTGAGAGCACAATAACCAATGTTACATAACATGTTGGTCCATCTGAAGTACTTTGAAACTGTGAATTTTATTCTATTGCACATGTCTACATTTCCAAAACTCAACATTTTACTAAGCATCTCTAACTCATGAACTCCTTCAGTGGGACGCTCATATTATAAACACCGTTTTAATTCAGCAGTCATACTTGGTGTGATCTTAGTTAATATTAGTACATTGATAGCTGTGTGCTCATGCTACAATTTAACTGAAGACACAGATGAGCATAACACAATAGAATCAATAAACAGAAAAAACTCCCATAAGCTAAATAAATGATTTATTGTACAAAAGAAAGATGACAGTAAATAAACAACAAAAGGCAAAAATAACAATTGAACAGTTATTCATATGCACAACCATTAAACTACAAAGTTGGGGTGATTTTTTAGGTACACAAAGAACGGAGGAATGAAGGGGGGTAAAGTGAAAAAACATGAGAAGCGGTGAACCTGTCCAAAACATCATAAATGTCAACATTTGGGTAGGTATTTACATAGAGATTTTTTACTCTCATATATTTATATGAAAACACTCTCACACATACCAGTATACAAACACTACAATTCAAAACGCAACTTCTCAACAGCTTTAACCATTGTTAAGCCATAGATGTGGGCACAACTATTATTATATCATCATTATTAATATTATTATTATCATTATTATACTTATCATTATTATTGTTTATTTTGACCACACAATACCAGAGCCGCTACCACCAGTCACTCTGTCAATAATTCTATCTGAACCTGAGAGCAAGGGGACCCTGTGGTTTTCATCTACACTTTTTGGGGAAGGGGGGGCTGGGGCGTGGAGATCTTGTGGGTTAAATGTTTGCACAGATTAATCAATGACAAATTTTGAAAAGCAAGGTTTTCTTTTTAGAAGGCGAAAGTGAGGTAGACAGACTTTGAAATGCATTGTAATTCATATTAATAAATAGACAATTGACCTGTTGAATTATTTCCAACCACTGCCCCTAAACCAGCGTTTTCTCTCCCTTTGAAATGTTCTAGCATATTCCTGTGATCACAAAAGTTACAGCACATAACATGTCATCCTCTACTTTGGCTAACAATCCCTGGATACTCTTCCCCCATTCTCGTATGGGCTTCTTTCACTTAATATACACACAAAGGCAAAAACATGTCTATGCAAAACAGTCAACACGTTGTTTAAGTCAAAATAACGTTGTCTCTCTAACATGGTAACAGATTAAAGTTGGTGGGCGGGCCATTTCCAGTTAAAGCATTCTATGTTCATCGATCCAGACACTTAATACACACATGACTTATCACCCACAGCGGGCGAGGAGGCCTTTCAGGCCGCTGGCTCGGTACGTCCAGGTTCCAGATTGGATAGAAGAAGTGTGTGAGTGTATGGACAGGCCCCCGCTTCAGACAAAAGTCAGGAAAGCGTGATGGTATCAAAAAGAAGTGATAACCTCTCTACTTTATGGTTCATCACCAAAGCTTGAATAGCTTTTTTTTTTAAATCCTATTCTGTACAAGCTCTCTTGTGCTGGCAAAACACAAACAACACTTTTACTCCTAACGCCATGAACGTCCCATAGTGCAAAATTTATTGTTGGTAAGGTAGAGTGCCCCCAAAAAGGTTTTTGTACCCCTTTTTTAATATATACATATATAATTTATATATAATGTCAGAAGGCTCTTCCTTTATCCAACAGCATAGTGCTTTCGTTTACAACAAAAGGATATCTTTGCTTTGACATCCAGGAGACAAAGACAGACTTCAAGCATACTAATCTACACTGTGTTCAAGCACTAACAACATATTCTCCATGATGATGGTGATGATGGTGATGATGATGATGATGATGATGATATAGCTGAGGTTGGGGGGCATTTCACAATGCAAATGTGTTGTCTAAACTTAAGTCAGCGGTTGAGTTACATTCTCTTGATTTTTTTCTGCATGTTTTTTGTGGTTTGTTGTGATTTATAAAAGCTATTATTCATCAGTACAGCACTGCAGTTATTTTTCTTTTTCTGAAACTAACAAAAAGTGACTTGACAGTGTATTCTAACAGAGTTGTGAACGCTGCTGTAAATATTTGTGTGTAAACATGTATTCAGAACACTTATCAAACTGATGCTCAATAACTTGTGTGTTTCATTACAGGTTAAGTTTAGTTGTGGATTTAGTATTTGTATTACATGCTCAGTCCCAGGCCTCTTCAAGTTACAGGACAGTGCATTTACTAATGTTTAAACATCTAATGTAAAAAAAATGAAGGAGTTGAAGTAAATTTTGTCAGGTTCTTGTCATCCTGCTGGACTCGCCCTCCTTCTCCTCCTCCTTTTTCCGTCTCCTCTCCCTTCAGAGTAATCTACATTATAGTTATGTGTCAAACTTGGTGTGCAAGTCAAACCTTAAGATCTGCATTTGTAGAGTGGCAGAAATGGCTACACTGACTTCATCTATCCACTTTAAAACCAAAAGACAAATGTAAGAAGGAAAAGGTTTTGTAGATGGACGAGAATGGTAGAGGGCATAGGTTTGGTTTTGGATCTCCTCATTGCTTCACATCCCTGGAGCACATCTCTAAATATCTCTAAACAAGGTATTGGATTTTTGCAAGTAATGGTAAAGTGATGGATTGTGAAAAAATTCTGATCATGCCCTTGTAAATGTTTTTGTCGATCAAATCTCACCTGTAAGTAAACGTAAAACACCACCTTCAGACTAAAACTGCTTTAAAAATCATATTGTAAAAGTAAAGTCTCCTGTGTCATTTCAACTCACTAACCTGGACATTTCACAAAGATGCCATGAAGAAACACACACGAACAAACAAACAAACAAACAAACAAACAAACAAACTCTTTAACCCCCCCCTCAACAAAACTAACACAATCTATAACTTAGTTTTGTCTCATTTACCATTTTTCTGAAGCTGCTCCTCAAGTTCAACCTCTTTAAATTATTCATCGTGTTCTGTATTTCCATCAATCAGTCCCTTTTTAATTCACATGTCATTTATAACTTTGTTTTTTTTTTTTACAGTTAGAATCAATTTAATTACTAGAAAAATGGAGACCCAGTAGGATGTTTTTGTGAAATCTGGTGCTGAGGGGTGGGTTCTGGTGCCAGGGGAGAGCTCCGTAAGGGTTTTGGGTGGTTCGATGCAATGGTGACTGTACACAAGTGTGTGTCATCCCCCCCGCAGCCTAAGAGCAGCCACATCTATCCACCACCATCCCTGGGATCTTGCCATGGATGATCTGCTGCTTGTCATTGAAGTAGAGCATGTTAATGGGGGACATCTTGGTTGGGGTACAGCAGGGCCCTGCCGAGCCGCGGGGGTTAGCGTGCTGCACCAGGTGGGTGTGTGGGTATTTCTGCATGAACATGTACTCGCATTGGCCGGAGCAGTAGTTGGCTTTGTAGCGTTTGGGTGCAATGATCCAGTCCCAGCCGAACGCCTCGAAATCCACAGTCAGAGGGTAGCGACAGCAGCGAGACTCGGTGGAGTGCTCGTCGCAGTCCAGGCCGAGATTTCTGCGAGAACGTTTGGTCGTCTCGAGAACCTTTACTTCCAGGAACGGCTGCTGGAATCAGGGGGAGAAGGGGCAAGGCAAAAAGAAAGAGGTGGTTATAAGAGAACAACACCACAGACATGGCTCACATATCAGCTATGGAAAAAAGCAACAAGTGACAACTAATCAATGTTTTTCAAAAATTCTGCCCACTGAAATTAATAACAACATCAATGTCTGTGAGTTGAGCTGGAATTTTGCTTCTCTTATATGTAGTGGGGTAATAATTTAAATCTTTGAGAAAATAGTAAAACAATCAGGAAGAAAATAAAAATCACCCTCTTTCCAGTGATGGTGTAAACAAACTACTACATCCATGAAACAAATGAGAACGAATTTGGAACCTGTCAAGTTGGGCATTAAATGATGAACATGGTGGTGGTAGCATGATGGTGAGAGTTGAGTGAAAGCTGAGAGAAATATTCCTGAAAGTAAACCTGACCTCCGACCAGGCCAAAGGTTCAGGTTAACAGGAGAACGAGCCTAAACACACAACCAAGACCACACAGGAGTGGCTCAGGGTAAAATCTGTGAATGTCCTTGACTGTCCAAGCCAGAGCCTCGACTTGTTAACACAATGAGAAAAACAATTTAAATGGCTGTCGACTGACTGTCCCCATTAAACTTGACATAGCTTGAGAACAAACGACAGAACATCTCCAGTCAAGCTTGTCATCATTCGCAAAAAAAACAAAAAGTTCAGTTTTCACTTTTAAATTGGTTGACAGAGTTTATATTAATAAGGGAAAATTGATTTACACAATTGAAGCACAAGGCTGCAACATAAAACATGAATAAAGTGAAGAGGTCTGAGTTCTTTCTGACTGCACTGTGAAGAAGACAACACATGTCATGTTTTTCTCAACTTATCATCAGATGTTCATGACTCAACCTGCCCAAACAAACTTGAGTCAGAATAGCATCTATCAAAGTCGGCCAACATTACAGAAGAAACAGAGGAAGTTTCCTCTTTGTCTCCCCTGCACGATATTTTGCAAAGTTTGTACAGAAGCTTTTCTCATATTGTTGCTTTGATTCTTTTCGTAAAACAGAAACAAGATTTAAAAACAACTGCTGTTCAACCCAAGCCTTTACAAGTTTTAAGTACTAAGTAATAATAAGAGTTATGATAATTACTATGCTGTTTCACACGGTCATAGCTTAATTATTAAATACAAGGTACTACTTACACAGATTCAGTCATTGTATGTCCTGGTACATTAATAGCACATATTACTGGTTTTCTATCATATCAGGTAGTTCACACACTAAGTATTAATAATAGGATTGATTATTAATAACCAATTCTAGATTATATAAAAACACAGCCCTACCCCTGAGAACAGAGTAAACGAAACCAGACCCAAACTTTTAACCTTTCATCTCATTTTATAGCTCAGCCGAGTCAAAGCCAGGATCTGATCTGAGGAGTAACCATGACAATGCAACACAGAACAGTGATACAATAATTGTTTAGTTTTCAATCAGCCTCTCAGTTTACAGAGTGCATGATGTCAGGAAACAGAGGTTTGATATTCTCTGACCTACTCCAGCATTACTGAACCAAACTAAGCTGTTGAGAGTGACACAGACAAAAGCTTGAAACTGCTTAGAATTCACCATCATTTTTCATTAGGCTAAATAACTTCATTTGTCATGTTTAAAGTAGGAGCACAATGTGCTGTGTGAGCAGTGATTCAATGAGCACTGAGAAGAAACTGCTCTCTCCTGACTGATAGCTGACTCTGAGTGCTTGGTTTGATCCATGACCCTGGAGGTCATCTGCAGTCTAACATAACCTTGACCTGTGGGCAAAGCAAGCGGATCAAATATTTTACTCCATCATGTTTGTTTTACAAAGCCTTCCTCTCCCCACAGTGATTCCAGCTGGGCTTGAGCACAGTTTTTTGTGACGCATTCAAAAGAGGAAATAAGCTGAAAGGCCGTTGGGGGGAGACCATGTCAGCTTGGCCTTTAGGGCTTTTGTTGTAGAAAAAAAAAGACCCAGAGGATCAGGGAGAAGCAGAGTTTGACTCTTTCCTTGCTTGTTGTGTTTTGTTTTATTTTTGTGCACTTGCCTCGTGTTTTTGATCTCTTCCTTTTTATCCCGCTCAAGAATAATATTGCACACTGTGCACGCTCTGTGCTCCGAGGGCAGCGATTCATTGGCCAAGACACCAGAGCTGACCTCTGATATGTGTTGTGAAGATCTGACCCAAATGACCACTCGGTAAATATTTGGTGTTGCTTAACTGGGATGACTGGCCTACATAATTCAACATGGATGTAGTATGCATCTGTCAGTCGAAGCAACTCTGGGATTTCTAACTAGATTAATGGTTCACGGGTGGTTTTGCTTTGAGACTGAAGTTTGAACTCATCCGTGCAGCCCCATCCATTACATTAGACGTAAACGCAGCACTCAATCATGGAAAAAGAGAACCAAAGCAAATATGTAGGCCAAGGCAAGTGAGTTATGTTTTTCACATTTTAAGACTCTGGCATCTTCTCATCATGAGACAAAATGCACTGCAGACTGAGGAGAAAACCTTTCAGCATTCACTTTCAATACAAGAGATTTAATCAATATTTTATGTATGTATATATACATAAAAAAAGGATTTGTAAAATATGTGAATCAGTGTACTTTATCTTCTCTGATCTGAAGATGGGATGTGGTGATGAACACTGATTCAAACAAAGCAGCTGTGTTTTCACTGGACTGAAGTAAACATAGAGTGGTCACGTCCGTTGGATGGTAACAAGGAGAAAACTGTGTGTGGCTACTTCAGAATTATTCCTTGTCATTTTTGAGTCCTCCTCAAATAGTTCTTCAATATACTGTCACTGTGTTACACTGTTTGTGTGCCTGATGTTGTGTGAAGAGCTTTTTATAAACAGCCTTTGGTGCAGAGTGAAGTTAGAAAACTTATTACATATGCTTTTACATGTAAACTGCCCTGAAAGAGAGCAGGTCGTCGAATAACCAAAATGTCTGCTGTTTGATTCCCAATGGGCAAAATACCGAACCCCAAATTATGTTGTGCGTGATGTGATGTATGATAGAGAAAGATGCACTGTATGAATTTGTGTGTGAGTGGGTAGACGGCAAGAACTGTAAAGGGTTTTGAGTGGTTATTAAGACTAGAAAAGCTCTATATTCACTACAGATCATTAACCAAATTAAGACAGTCTCACCTGGACTTAAGAAACAAAGTCCAGAAACCTGAAGCATTTGAAACTTTTAAAATGATGTAAATCGTTTCAAAATCTAATCTGAAACAAATATAAAAGCTAAAGGAGGCAGATGTTGTAATTAAACAGCAGAGGACTGATAGTAGAGGTGAATGTCCAGAGAGAAAATGGGAAGTGACACACAGGATGACATCAGTACCATCCTTCTTTTCCCCCATGACTATTAGTTTAAGTAAGTCTCAGTTAAGAGTATTTTTACACTAACATGATTTCAGCTGCACTCATTTGCATGAATATGAGCTGTGATGGAAGTGATAACCCCCCCGCCCCAGGGACAGGTCTGAGGGTCCTTACCAGTCCCTCCTCTCCGGGTCTCAGCGAGGTAACTGCCAGATCATTGCCGCTCTCGTCAAAGGCGTTGATGTCGATTCCCCAGTTGGTGTGTGGCTGTTTGAACCAGTTCTGCAACACATGCTTAAAGTCAATGCTCTGCCAGTGCCCCACTCTGGAGTTGAGCTCTATCTTCAGGGAGCGGATGCGGATGTGGCGGCTGCCCTGCTCCGTGACGGGCTTCAGTCGGAGGATCTGCAGGTAGACGGTGGAGGTCTGCTGCAGGGGCCGCAGGTACACCCACAGCTGGGCCTTCAGCACCTTGGTGAACATCAGCTTGGGGCTGAACTTGAAGAAGCAGCAGCTTGGCTTCCCGTTCACCTGCACCAGTGGCTCAGCTGTGGAAAAAGCACAGGTTAGAGTTACACTTGTGATGTATGTGACGTTTACTGTATATACATATATATATATATCACTGAGATAATCATCATTCAATAGACACTTAAACTGCAACTTCCCTGTTTCATATTTAACGTTTCTTCTCATCTCATAAAATCACAACACAACCCTATAACAATTTAATTCTAAACCACCAACACAACAGGAATTGTTTTGTCACTACAGCCACAGAGCGACTGAATGGGTTGAGAAACATGTTTAAAAGCTGAAAAGGACAAACCACATCACAGATTAACTGAAATCATATTGGGCCACATTACTGAAAGATTGAGCGCCCTCTAGGAGAATGAAGTGAGGCATTTAAATATAAAATAATATACTCAAACAGAAAAATGTCTCTTTTCAGTCATCATACTTTACAAAGAGAAAAGTTTAGTTACTGAGTTTTTAACCAGGTTCTTCTATGAACTACTGTGCAAATTTCACAACAATATTCTGCTTGAAATGAGAGTCTGTGGTCAAGGCAGGTATCTTAATTGTTAATGAATAGTCTTTGTGATTTCCTTGATTTTTGTGAGGTCAAATCTCCCCACAGTGATGTCCAGCTGCTGATGAATTAAAGCAGGAAGCAGGTAAACTTCATGGTTTGACAACAGTTCTCTGAAGTAAGATGATGAGAAACAATCTGGACTGAAAACACTGTAGTTTTTATGACAGAGCAGAACGTTTAAATGGAGCTGTGAACAGAGTTGTGACTGTTCGGGAGGCAGAGGGCACAGCTGCAGTTATTTGGACTCTTCAACTTCTCAAGATGTGTATGTGTTCCACACACTGATCATGAAATAAAACACCACCGCAGCTCCGATACATGATCACACTTTCTGTGTGTGACTCAAATGGATGAATTGAGAAGGAGTGTGCAGAGTTTGTAGCTCAACAATGGGATGGTGGTTATTTTCCAGATGTAATCCCAAGTGTCTTGTTCTGTGATGAACATTACTTACCTCGGCAATTCAGCCTTTTCCGTTTGTTTCTCAGGGAAAAACTATTTATCAGATTTCCATGAAACTTGATGGAAGGATGGAACATGGAGCATCGATCAAAGAGGCAGATCCATGAATTATTTCCATCACATTGTGAGATAGTGGGGTTTTCTTTTTACATTTTTAACAATTTCCCAGTGAAGAATACAGAGATTGATAAAATATATCAGGCATATTTTTGAAATGATATCTATGAGTCAGTACAATTTGGCGTGGCTTTGGCGGAGGTGTGCCCTCTAGTGTGTGCCATTCCAGTTATAGATTTGAAAAACTTCACATATTTTTCAAGTCTGATTCCATTTATGCCACAAAAAAAGAATCCAAGTCAAACAAAGAAAAGATTTACCCAGTTTACCCACCAACTGTTCTATGTCTATATGTGAGTCATCTGTTATCTTATGTGCACATGATGCTGTTGTTTGATGTCAGGTTACGTTTGTGATTACATCCTAGTTGGAAAACAGATACATTTGCATATTAAAACAAGGATCAGTAATGGTGGCCAGTAACCAGATGGTAACCTTAGATTCCCCTGGGTCAATCGTAATGAAATGGTCTCTACCTCCACATTGCAATTCCCCAAAATTTAAACATCTTAAGTTTTTTAGTGGCTCTCCCTCCTCTCTTATTTGGGGATTATGGGTTATGTCAAAGAGCACAAGGCGTCTCCTCATATCGTCAGATTTATTCCTGTCATGATCCTCAGAGCTGGTCTTTCTGTGATGTGCACCACATGTCAAATCTGCACACGGTTCATTTACATAGACCTCACTCTGATATAATGACACCCATCCATTGCATTCATACATTAATTTCCATGTAAAGCGTTCATTTATTAAGGGAAATTTATTCTGCGTCTATCTGGCATAATAATTTGCCAACTGAGTACAAAAGAATATTTAATCTGCCCATTTTCTCTGAGCATATTTGACATATTCCAACTCCAGTTTTGAGGAAATCAACATCTGTGTTCTGTTTTTTATCTTGAAGAGGAATGTTGTTGCTCCATCGTTTGAAGAAATAAGAGAAAAAAACAAAACTGCATGGACCTGTCAATCACTGCTAAATCTGAGGTTGCTCGGGCAACCTGCAAATGCTTCCTGGGTCAAAAGGTTATTTGGCACCTCAGCCTAGTTAAGAAATGGGATCAGGGGTCAAAACCGTCAGCCTCTTTACATCTCAGGGGTGCTGGGGAGGGGCAGGCCCTAATAGCCAGATTGAGTTTGAAGGTCAAGGTCGACCTTATGGCAATGGTAATATGTCTTTCTTCACAACACGCCTTTTCACCAGAGAATCATTTGAAATCTCAGAGACACAACAGCACTGAATCAGCCACAGTTTGTTTTTGTTTTGATAAGGGTGGAGATTCTCCAGCCAATAGTGGACTGTTTATAAAACCTCAGTTGACCAGGAGGTAACACTGTACCAAGTTGTTTTCTTTTTACACTAAACAAGTGTTGTAATTGAATTATGCTCATGCATTGAGGGATATGAATTCACAGAGGTACAGATGGACTATCCATTAGAAGAGTCCAGGGCAAACGTTGAATAAGGGCCAAGCCGGGGACAGACGTGGTCCTTCAGCCTGTATTTTCCAGGGACAGTCATTAGTGAGTGTAAATTATACAGTGTCTCACGCTGGACAAACAATATGTCAATGTTCCTTTTGGTGGGTTGCTGGGGTCACAGCAATTAACGTGGGCGGTGTTGTGTTCGCTCATCAGCACAAAACTAGGAATGAATGATTCTGCAGTTAGCGTTGGGGTTTACTTGTTATTACTACTTTTTGTTTTGTTGTTTTGAATGGCTACAAATGGGGACAGATACACATGGCTCTTCCTCAGCAAACTATTTCACTGCTTTTGCGGAGTTCTTGGCGGAGGCTGAGGCCTGTCTTGAGGAGGAGTAATCTGAGAAGCAGGGCCCGTGTGCCGTGATCCCTGGTTATTAAACACACCTGCACAACATATGAGCTATGTCATTTTAAACAATGAGTGCATTGATAGGCAAAATCAATTTATGCCTTTATGGATCCTTGTAAGTGCACAAGTAAGCGGCAAAGCGTGGAGGACAAATGCCTGCAGCTTTATTACAGCCCACATCTTGGCAGAGCTCTGCACTTGTGCAAAGGCGAGCTTGTAAAGAACAGAACACTGACGGGATATTTAATCCTCCTACCTCACCTAACATCGCTCCAGCTCCATAACACGCTAACGTTGGAAGAGGTCATAATTTAGCTGGAGCTGCAGTTTTTATAGCTTAATTTCCTGAACAATTATTTTAGTTAAAGCTCTTTGCTGTAACACTCTAATTTCAATCTGCAGTAAGGACAGAAATTCAGATTTTGTGTTCAGCCCCACCTACTGGAGCAACGGAACCTTTCTCCTCGACCATGCGGATAATGATAGAATCGTGCTTCTTTACAGTAAGAAGTAAGAAAACAAGTAAAAACCAGGAGAAGTGTGCAGTGTGATGTGTTTTTTTCCAAGAGGAAACAGGCTTGTTTGCTTTTCCTCCGCATGTTTCCAGCCTACTTCATTATTACAGCAGCTTATTTCCCTGTGGTATAATTGCAGCATATGCGGCGCATGAATTTTACTGCCAACACCCAGCAGGCCTGCAGGTGAGCCTATCAAACATCTGGTGGATTCCCTGGGTACCTGTGTCCCAGAGTTAGCCCACAGCCTCCTATACATGCATGTAAAGGGAAACATATACGATATAAGGGTTTATTCACCGTGCCATCTGTCCGCTTTGATGCATCCGTAGGCAGTTTTTTAGTTGAATGTTTTTAGTAAAACTGTTGAAAAGAGATGGAGAGAAGAAGTTATAAAAGTTATAGAAGTCACATGTTACCAGCAAGTGTCTAAAAATGTTATATTATGTGATAAAAATAGCAGAAACTTTACTGAGAAAATAATAGATAGCATGTAAGGAACCGACAGAGCAACCTCACTGTATTTACTCAAAAGAAATCTCTCAACTTAATAACACAATCATCACAATATAAAAAAAAAAACAAGCTTAAATTGTTGAAAATATGAAAAGGTTGCCTTTAATGTTTTATAAGCTTGTTAGTTTAAACTTTCTTTCTCAAAGATCAGGCAACAAAAAAAAATAGGCTACTGGATGAATTTGCTTTGCAGTGACTGATGACCGGTTGGATGATTTTACAGATTAGCTATGGTTTATCACAGATGTGTTCAGCTTCCTCACTTTTTAAGAGAAAAAAAAGATTTCATTGAGGTTCACTTTTTAAAAAAAATCCAAACTTGCGACCTCGAGACTTGGACCGTCGTGTGCGTGTGTTGTATACATGTGTTGTATACATGTGTGGTAACATATGCCAATCAGGTGAAAAAAGCCAGCTAAAGTGGGGTGGGGAGAGAAATGGTCATCCATTGTTAATGTCCAAATGGATAATGCATAATGGTATAAACCTAGATAGGAGTAACATTTGCATATATATATCTATATTTTCTTTTCTTAATGGGAAATGCAAATGTGCCATTTTGTGGTGAGTGTGTGTTTGGGAGCCTTCATGTTGAATAAATGTGACTCTAGGGTATCCCCACGCACCTCGGCATATTAATCATCGTGACACGTTCACGACCCTTCTAATAAGACAGGGGCCACAGTGCACCCCCTCAAACATCCCTTCCCACCCCAGCCCCACTCCCTCTTTGTCCCTCGGCCACTCCCAAGGGACAGGAGAGGGTAGTGGGGGAGGCCAGGCTCGAGCTGGGGTTGGACGGGGGGGTGTGTGAAGTTAGACCCCCTCATTCAGAAGCTGTCCCCTGGGACAACGGCAGGCACAAGACTCCTATTAGGACTGAGCACAGTAGCCCCCCAGGAGCAACAAAAGACACCTCCTAATGCTCCCTGTTCTAGTTCAGCGAACACACACACACACACACACACACACACACACACACACACACACACACACACACACA